GCTCTGCTCCTGCCCAAATCCCCCCCAGCCACAGGGCCAGTGACTGTGCCGGTGCCCACGGGTCCTGGTAACCACAGACAGAGCCAGGGCACAGGGCTCTGCCCCAGGTCACTCCACCAGCAGCCACCCTGGAAGGGGCTTGGCAGCCTCTTGGTTTCTCAGATGCTGCACGACGGGTTGCACTGCAGAGATCCCCCAGCTGTTTGCCTGTTAATTTATGGGGGCAGGTGGAAAGCTGGGAAATGTTGATTTTTCCCTGGCTGACGTGCTGTCCTCTCTGCTGAGCAGGAGCTGGCGTGCCAGCCGGGGGCAGGGCACAGCGGGGCACAGTGTGCAGGCTGCTGTGCTGAGCTCCAACCTGGCATGGAGGGAAGGATGGCTGATGTTTACTGTCAGAGCTGGGCTGGAGCTGCTGTTAGTGCACCTAAAGAAACCCCTATTTGTGACACATGGGTGTCCCATACCCACCTTTCACCCCATTGCACCCCAGCATGGGCTTGGGGTGAGCTACATTTGCTGGGACCCTCGCTGGCAGGGGACGTGCCTGGGCACTCCGGGCAATTTCCCTTAGAAATCCCTTCTGATTTTATTTTTTTCCTTAGCAATTTCTAGCATAATTCCCTCTCCTGTCTGCTGGGGGCTCAGAGTTAATTGAAAGCTGCTGCTTTTGTCCTGTAATCTCGGAGGAAGCAGTGCTTGTTGCTCCTGGATGGTAATCCCCATCTTTGCACAGGGGGATCACAGACTCTCCTGCTGCCGAGCTCCACACAAAGACCTCGATGCAAAACATAGAGGCTGCTTCCACCTTTTCTCCTCCTCCACATCTTGTGCTGAGGTTTGGGGGTGCAGGGTTGGGGTCCCCAGGAAGCTGCCTGTGCCCCGTGGGCAGGTGGCTGCTGCTTGGCTGTGCCCCAGCGTTGGGGCTGCCAAAGCAGAGGGTGTATGTGGCGTCAGCAGCACGACAACCAGTCGTGTCATTATTGGCATGATCCTGTTTTGTATCCGTTGGTGCTTTCTGCTTCTGAAAAATAGCAGCTCCTGCTGAGGAACTGTGAGAGCTGCACAGCACAAGTCCCCTGGTCTGCTCTGAGCTTGCTGCATTCTTGCAGGCACCTAAACCATGGTGTAACTCCCCTTGAACAGGAGATCTGAGGGTTTAACTCTTCTGCTGCAACCCGTGATGGGTCTGATGTGCATTTTGAGATGTGCTCTGCCACTTCCCACTGGTCCCTCTCCTGCCATGCCACCATTCAGAGCTATCACCCTAAAGCTCAACCCCTTCCAGGTGTTGCCTTTCCTGGAGGAGCTGATACCCTGCAAGTGGGTGTCTGGACACGGCTGTAGCTGTTACCTTCTCCTGCTCTGAAATTGTGTGGGGTTTTATTTCTGAACTGGAACCAGGCAATTTGCATCCCACCTTGCTGCTTCTTGGCTTCCTTAATAATCTCCCCAGGGAGGGCCAACGTCTCTGAGATTTGCTCGGAGAAGGTTGAAGGTGTGTGTTGTCTCTTGGGTTCCTCCATCAGGCATGGCCTGGCTCCTGCAAACACAAGTGAGGGTTTGCTTCTGCATCCCTTGGGCACTGAAAAAGGTCTCCCTGGACTGCAGATCTCCAGCATCTTTTCCAAGCCAGGTGACTGCTGATGTGAAAAACCCCGTGAAACCTTTGCTGGTGCAGAGGTGGGGTGAACAGGGGTGCAGCAGTGGATGAACAGATAATCCCTGAGGGTGGAGGTGGTGAGCAGCCCACAGGTGTGGTCATGTTGGAAAGAAGCCATTTATCTCATCCTCAGTGTTGCCCACCTCATCTCTGTGTCACACTGTGTTTAGCATCACTGATGGTGCTTCATGCTCCCAGCCCTGAACTCGGGATATTTCTAGGGTGTTTCTCTCCCCTCCTGGCTCTGCTCTCGCCTTTATCTAACTGGATCTTTTTTGTTTTGATTTTGCAAAGATGGGCATCAACTCCAGAAAAGGTGCAGATGCAAAGAGTGAGGCTCAGTGACCACCATGGACCCCCAAAGCTGTCAGGGGACCTCTGTGCACCCTGTGTGCTGTCTCCAGACATCATGGGGCTCTTCTGCCCACCACAGCCCGACGTGGAGGGGATCAGCTTTGCTGTCCTGAGCTCTCTTCCAGTTTGCTGGCATTTTTTTGCTCTCTGATCCTAATCCATTTATTATGGCTTAGCGGCACGGGTTGTATTTGAGGGGCAAGCTCGGGGCAGGCTGTCTGGCAGCCGGGCTGTGGCCACTCAAAGGGTTTATTGGCATTATGGGGTGTGGGTGAATTCCTGCAGCTGGAGCCAAGGAAGGCATCGCTTTCCCAGCTCCCCCAGTGCCAGCCCTGCTGGAAACTCCCCCCAGCCCCACTTCCCAGGGGAGCACCCTGCACAGGAGCAGCTCAAGGCTTTGCCCGGGCAGCGGCTCACACCAGACACGGCCTCCCCCTAACAAGCCGGTTGCTACAACCCAAGGTATAAACAAGCAGGAGCTCTCAGCCCGGCGAGCCCAGGCTTCCTTCCAGCAGATGTAAAGTTTGGTTGGGTTTTTTCCAAGGTCCCTGCCCTGCCTGGGGAAGCCACATGGCAAATGGGAGGAGGTACGGTCAGCGCTGGAGCAGGATGCTGGCAGCCCCCTGTGCCTCTGCAATCACATTCAAGCCATGATTCGTGTGACATTGGTGGTGAAAGGTTGTTTTCCATCACCCCGTTGCAGGGTGCCCGCTCACCTGTGATGCAGAATGCATTTTTTCCCAAGGAATAGATCCCATAAACCAGCTCCTTGGGCTGGTTTGTCTTACAGGGGTTTTGCTGGTGTCCCCAGGGTGGTGGCACTGCCATGCCAGGTGGGCAGGGCTGAGTGGTGGGTTTCCATCAGGTTCATCACCCTGGGGTGCATCACAGCCATTGCAGGGCTCTCTGCTGGCACATGTGGTTCATCCCTGAGGGGGTTTCATACCTGAGGTGTCCAGGGGATGTTTCTGAAACGTGCCTGCAGTGATGCCCCTTCACAGGACAATCTCCAGCTGTCCCTGGAGCAGCCCAGCTGGGTGTCCCCAGGACACCCCACTGCCCATCTTGGTGTCTTGGGGCTGTTTCTGCTCTGTTGCTCAAGACCCCCTGGCAAGAAGCAGAGCAGCAGAGGGTGACAGGATGCTGGTGGCCGCAGTGCCACCGGGCTCTGGCATCTTGGACCAGGAGATAATCCAGGATTGTCTGATTGACTTTCCTTATTTGTCATGTAGTGTTTAAGCCAACAGTGAGCCACTGTGACTTGTCCCTGCAGCTGCCACCCCCCCTGCCTGGGCTCAGCTTTGCCTTTCGGGGGAATTCTTGCAGCTGGGGCTTTGTCGGGGCCGGGCGAGCACGGTGGCCAGTGTGCCAGCGCCTGGCAGAGCCAGCACCGTGCTGCTGTCTCAGGCTGTAGGTCACTGTCACAGGCAGTGCTGAGAGCAGTGGGGTCCTGTCCCCTCTGCCTGGGGTGGATCAGGGATGTGCGTCCCCACTGCCCATGCCAGGTCCTCATCTTGTCCCTTTCTGGGTTGTGCCACGGTGCAAGGTGACAGCGTGAGCCCTGCACCTCCCAAGTGGCAATTGCATTTGGCAGGGATGGGAGGTGCTTGGTGACGGGTTTTTTGGCAGGAAAGCAGATCCACGATCACCTCCCAGGAACGTGCTGGGTCCATTGGGTCCTGTCAAGGAGGAGAACAGCTGGTGCAACAGCTGGAGTGTTTGCTTGGAAGATTTGGGTTGAGACTGTGCTTGTGGGGGTGTGAAAAGAGCTTTGGGCACTGCAGGCTGTGTGGGTCCCAAGGGACCAGAAGGGACAGTCCTTGAGCATTCCCAGTGGCCACAGCTCTGTGCTGGATGGGGAGGTGGCTCCGGGGCTGTGGCTGTTGGAGGGAGTCCCGTGACAGTTATGTCCTGCAGACCTGGAGGAGTTTTTGAGTCAGCATTAGTGCCAGCAGGATGTCACCCCTGGCCCTGCTGTGACAGTGACATGGCAGCCCCACACCAGAGGCTCTTCTGGACTGGGAGAGATTTGTCACCGTGATGAGACCAGGAAGGGGTGGAAGAGGAACCCAGCCTGGTGATTGCTCCTTGGTGGCAAAACAAGGGGCAACCTCTGGTCCCCAGCGCTGGCAGCATCTTGTTGTGTCCCTGCGTTGCCTCCCCTGTCCTCGCCTGCCATCTCCTCCTTCCCTCGCCTGCCTCCCTGACACATCTTTTCCAAAGACGACCTACATCTCTCTCGCCGTGGCTGCCGCCTGTGCTGCTCCTGCAGCTCCTCTCCCTCCCCCACCTTCCTCTTTCCTTTACTGCAAATATTTATAGGCGCCCATGTCGGCCGTGCCCCCGCCCCGGGTGACTGGCTCACCGGTGGGTGATGGTGCCCAGCTGGCTCTGAGCCACTTTCCTGCAAGGATGGAGCTTGACTCAAAAGGGTTGAAGATCTGTGAAAGCAGCTCGTGGGATGGAGGAGGGCAGGGGAGCCATGGTGGGGAGATATCCCAGGGGGAAAAGAGGGGAGACCAAGCTGTGGGGTCCATCCCCTCCAACGTGCATCTCCACGCAGGATGAGATCGAGGAGCTGCGCGCTGAGATGCTGGAGATGAGGGATGTCTACATGGAGGAGGATGTCTACCAGCTGCAGGAGCTCCGGCAGCAGCTGGACCAGGCCAGCAAGACCTGCCGCATCCTGCAGTAGGCTGCGCAAGGCCGAGCGCCGCAGCCTGCGCGTGGCACAGACGGGCCAGGTGGACGGCGAGCTCATCCACAGCCTCGAGCAGGACGTCAAGGTGAGCCCGGGAGGGCGACGTCCCCATCCAAG